AATATGACCCTCTCATCCTCCAATCTATTGCTGTGACCTATTTCAAAAGTTTATATTTTGATCCAAGCCTTCAGGTAAATCCATGGTCACTGTCTCTTCATTTCGCCCTCTTAGAGAGTATGATAGGTCTGTTATTGAGTCTGATATGTCTATAGAGGAAATTAAGGTCTCCTTATTTAACATTGGTAATTTTAAATCCCCTGGCCCTGATGGGTGTCACTCTATGTTCATTAAAAGTCAATGGGATATTCTGTTAGGGTCCCATATTGTTAAGTTAGTGTCTGGTATTTTCAAAAAACCTGCACAGGTGACTACTATTAATGATACTCTCATAACTTTTATACCTAAAGTTGAAAATCCTAAGCATATTAGGTAGTTTAGACCTGTATCACTATGTAATGTTAGTTATAAAATAGTTATTAAAATTCTAGTTAATAGAATTAAGGGGTCTCTGCCTTATCTTATCTCTTCCAACCAAACTAGTTTTATCCCTGTCAGACAAGGTATAGATAATATTTCAATTCTCCAAGAACTCATTCATTCATTTGATAAAATAAGAAATAAATCTGGATATATGATTCTTAAGCTTGACTTGAAAAAAGCTTATAATAAAATTAGATGAATCTTTATATCTGAAACTTTTAAACTAATTGGTTTTAACAATAAGTTTTCTGATCTTATATTTCAATGCATATCCACATCTTCTATGACTATTAATTGGAATAATAATACATCTTTGTTATGTGTCTAGAAAGATTGTTCCATTTAATTCAAGACCATGTCAATAGTCAGAATTGGATTATTTTTCTTTTAATAATGTTGGGCCTAAAATATCTCATATTTTCTTTTGCAGATGATATTATTTTTGTGGCTAAAGCTGACCTGCATAATGCTGAGATTATAAAATCCAATTTGTATAAATTTGAGCAGGCTTTTGGCCTATTTGTGAATAAAGATAAATCTTCCATTTATTTTTCTAAAAATTGTGATTCAGTAATTAGAAATGGTATAGTAGATATTCTTGGCATTAATAGTTCTTCTAGTTTTGGCAAATATCTGGGTGTTCCTATATGCCATTCTAAGCCTGGTAGGAAAGATTTTGTGTTCATAATTGATAAACTTAAAAAAAAAAATCTGTCTTCCTGAAAAATGGATTTCCTTTCTTTTGCTGGGAGAATCATTCTTGCTCAGGCTTGTATTATGAATATTCCTAATTATTTTATGTAAACTATGGTTATACCTAAATCTGTTTGTAATGAAATTAACACAATTTGTAAGAGATTTATTTGGGGGTCGTTGAATAATAGAAAATGCCATCTTATAGGGTGGGATAAGGTTTGTAAACCCAAAAGTGATGAAGGATTAGGATTTTGGGACATTAATCTGGTTCATAAATCTTTTATTATGAAGCTTTGTTGGAGATTGATCTCTTCCCTTAATGAGTTATGGGCCAAGGTTCTGTCTGCAAAATACAAGTTTTCTCTAGGAAAAGACCCTTTGTTAAACTCTGGTCATAATATTTCAATTTTATGGAAAAACATAGCTTTTGTTTAGGAGTCTTTCTATACAGGTCTGGGTTGGGTTTTAGGAAATGGTTTAACTGCTAGATTTTGGAAGGATAAGTAGGTCCCTGTTGCTCCGAGCTTGTCCAGATGTGCCACCAGTATAATTCCTGAGGAAGATATTAATAGCCCTGTTGCTCTTTTCACAAATTAGGGAAATTGGGACTGGGACAAGTTGAGGGTGTTGCTTCTTAGGACTGTTTGTGATGTTCTGTCCACCATTAGCCCTCCTATAATAGTTAATAATCAAGATCAGTTCTTTTAGAATTTAACTAATAATGGTTGTTTTACAATCAAATCTGCTTATAAGTTAATTTCTAATTTTAGATAGGATTTGTCTACCCATAATGAGATTTTTAAACTAGTTTGGGCCTAGAAGGCCCTCCCTCAGATCTTCACTTTTTTTATGGAAAGTTTCTTATGGTAGGCTTCTAACCAATGAGGAAAGGTTCTCCCGTAATATGACTACCTCTCCTTTGCGTCCCAGATGCATGGAGGCCCCAAAAACTGTTATTTATGTTCTTAGGGATTGTTGAGCAGCCAACAGTATTTGGAGTAAATTCCTTCCTCCTGATAAATGGGTTCAATTTTTCAGTCTAGGCTTATCTAGTTGGCTGGAATTTAATTTCTCTAAACATAACTTTCCTCTGTATCTCAATTGGAGCATTTATCTTTGGTTTTGTTGTTTGGAATTTGTGGAGATCTAGGAATAATTTTATTTTTCAAAATAACAGTCTTGGTGTCCATGACCTCTCTCGTAAAATTTACCTTGATGTTGATTATTTTATCTCTTGTTGCAGGCCTGGGCAAAAGAGGGATGCTGACAATTGGGGTTCCAATTGCTTGGTGAAGTGGATGTCTCCTCTGTCTGGTTTTGTTAATCTTAATACGAACGGATCCATGTCTCAAACTTTGTGTACTGCTAGCTGTGGTAGATTAATCAGGGACTCTAATGGTGCTTTCATTGTGGGTTTCTGCAAACAGCTTGATCTCTGCCACCCTACTGCTGCTGAATTATGAGGTATTTTTTGGGGCTCCATATGGCTATTGAGAGAAACTTGTAGGCTATTTGGGTGGAGTGCGATTCTAAAATTGCTATATCTCTGATTGTGGATGTCTAGAGTAGGAATCATCCTTTTTATTTTGTTATTAGCAAAATTAGAGGCTTGATTAGAAGTATTAAGTTTATAATGTTCATTCATGTGTTTAGGGAAGCTAACCAAAGTGCTAACTGGTTGGCTAAATTAGATAATGATTTTGGGGTATCTTTTCCTGTTTTTGATAAGACTCCTTTGTCTCTATAGCCTTTTTTGAAGATGGACTCTTTAGAGACTTTGTGGTCTAAGCTGGTTGCCTAATTGCTTTGTTTTTTTTGTTGGACTTTTTGCCCTGTTTAATAGCAAAAATAAAAATAAAAATAATAATTCATGAAAAGTTAGAATTATATTCTAACATAATATTTTATCTAAACTTAGTTTAAATTGTATAACTTTTGTAATAAATAAAAACTTAATTGAGGTATAAAAATATTATTTTTAATTATTTTTTAAAATAATTTATTTAAAATTAAAATGTTTAAGATCATTTATCAATATATTTGGAGGTAAATAAATAATCTTAAATATTTTTATTTTATTTTAAAATGGAAATTTTAATTTTAAAATTGTACAAGATATTCTTAATATTTTTAAAATTATTAATATGCATATATTATTTAAAACACATGACAATTTCTAATCTGCTCTTATTATTTTAAAAAATCATAATTTTTTTTTAATCTTAAATTGATACAAACCAAAAGGGTAATTCTTCTTTTAAATCTAATATGAAATATTAAAGAACTATCATGTTATTAGAAGAAAAAAAAAGGACTATCATGTTTGTCTTAAAAAACTTATTTCTGATAAAAAGTTGAAAACTGACATTGCTCCGGATGAAATACAAAAGTAAATACTTTATTTAGAAGTAAAGGTTATTAATAATAGAGATTAAAAATAGATTTAAATTTAATATTTAATATTTTTAATTTATATATTTTTTGTTTATTTTTTAAAAATATTTTATAGTTTTATTTTTGGGATTTTTCTTTTAAATATTTCAATTTATCTTATTAATATACGTGATAGCCTTTTTTTTTTTATTAATTATGTTATTAATTATTTATTAGTCAATAAAAATAAAAAATGTTCCTAAAAATAGAGACTAACATAAAAATAATTTTTTTAAGAGATTAAAATAAAATACTCATAAAAAGCATAGGTAGTTTTTGCTAAATATTCCTATAATACTACAATCGAAAAGAGTTTTTCAAATATACTTTATAAACTTGAAAGTTCTTACAAAAAATAAAATTTAAATAAAATTTTTAATTTGTTTTTTATATTATTAAAAGCTCTAATGTACCCATCGAAGTTTGGTCTAACAAAGTTTCACTGAAAATGATGAATTACAGCTCAAACTTCTATTACGAAAGGCACTTACATTGAGTATTTGATCATCCATCTGGCAATGCAATGTTGGCTCGATACTGCAGAAAACTAGAAAAGCGTGGTATATATTACTTATGTGCTGTTCAGGAAGGAGTTTTTGGAGAGGAGGAGAAGATATAAATTTATATTTTAAATAAATATATTTAAAATTAATATTTTTTAAAAATAAAAAAAATATAAATTAATATATTAACAAAAATTTAATATATTAATAATATATTTATTATTTTAAATAATATATAATTATTTTAATTTAAAATTAAAAAATATATCCTATTTATCTTTCTCCTCTATTAATCTTTTCCCGAACATATTCTTAGAATTTCAAATACCTTCAAGTTGATGTTAACTCTGATAGAATCCTATAAATTAAAATTGCATTCATTATCCAGAGTGCCTAAAAATAATTTTTTAGTAGAAAAAAAAGAAGTCATTTTCTAGGATGTTGCCATATTCTTTTTGTAGGAAATAATTTCTTTAAATTATAAATTGTACTTGTTCTAAAAAATTGCTACTAATTTTCTTATGAAAAATTATTTTCTCAAATCTAACGGCACAACAAAGCTCGTGCTTAGATCTAAGCGACACTGGAGTAATTGTAGATCTAAGCATTAGCATAACCCTTTACTCTTTTATTAGAAAAACACTAGCTAGCTACTGAAACATCATTCAAATGCAATAACAGTCCAGTTTCATGAAATTTCCACCTTTCCAATGGCAAAAAAATTTACCAAGTTTGTAACATTTATGCATTATGCAAGCTCCACTGAGTCAAACACCTTGTTCAAATACATAAAGATATCGTACCTTTTTTTCTGAATTAGATTGTAGGTAATGTTATATACCTTTAACCAATATAATAAATACTTAATCTAACAAATGTAGCAGGAAAGAATTATACAAAAGCTGCCAAAATTTAACATGTAAATACATTTATGCTCTCAAATTCTCATTTCCAAAGTTTTACGCAGTGATCATGACTGGCTGAAGCAATCAATTCTTCTTTGGGTGAATCTGCTAGTCCAGCAATTAATCCCTTGTGTGCTGGAACGGCCCATGTTTTACTGCTCTCTGTTGGACTCCATAATTCTAGGGACTGCAATGAATTGTAGACAAATTTGCTTTATTAGAATGTATTTGCTCCTTGCGCAAAATAATTATTAACATGACGAGCAAATGCTAGATTCTTGTTTATTAACATGATTGTTAGCAATATAATGCAAAGGCAACATGGATTATGCAAATACTAAAGCATAACAAATATTTATTCTTGAAGATAACGTTGCCACACAATGTGTTAATCTCTTAGTTCAAATAAATAAAAGAAAGGGCGCACGTACGTACTGTTGTATTTTTGTTAGGAATATACAGAAAGGATCGACTAAAATACCAATCACATTGGATGAATAATTTACCTGATAACCGCCAATAACTAAGAGGTTAAGATATCCTGGATGAAAAATGCATGATTGAAATTTGTTCCCGTTTGAATGTAATTCACTTATACATTTTCCATCCGATGCAACAGACCAAACACGTGCACTATCTTCACTGACAGAGGCAATATAGTTTCCACCTTTATCCCAACAAATGGATATAACATCTTTAACATGTCCCTAGGAGGAAATCGAATTCAGACAAGATATATCATATATTCTTGCTGTTGGAGTGAAAATAGGAGTCATGATATAATAGTAAGCATAATAATACCTTGAAAGTTACCTTTAGATTAAACAGAAGGCTATTAGTCTCAATATCAATTACTTTGATATTATTTGTAGAAGCAGTAGCCAAATACTTCCCAAAAAAAGGCTGGAATCTAACTTGTTTACTACCTCCCTGCAATGCATCATCATCAATATTTGGTAATTGGATTCCCATTCTTACAACAAATGTTTAAACATATTATACAGCAGGATGCTTTATATTATTAAAATATAAATTGATTTAATGCCATGAAAAAACACAGATAATTTATTAATAAAAATATTCTTTATGTTGTTTGGCAAAGCTCAACTCCTTGGACAAATAACAACATCAGGATTTAGAGTTTAAACTGACCTTAGTGACATGCATGCAAACACATTGATTGACATTCCACAGTCGAATTACATCATTGCTATCACATGAGCAAAGAAGGTCCACCTTTCTTGGGTGAAAATCCAATGACATTACTTGTTCAGCATGGCCAGTAAGTTTGAACATTGATTTCGTTGGCTATATTACAAAACCAAGAAAACATATAGACAGTTCAATACTAAATTGATCGCAAAATACGCACAAAAAGGAAGGAAAAAATGAATGAAAATATAAACAAAATTAAAAAACTTGAAAGCAGGTAGATAAGAGGATAGAGATAATCTATATTCTAAACAACATTGAACCTATGAAATAGATATGAAAACAATTTGGACAAGTATGACGAATAACAACGTACTTTGGCTGCATCCCATAATCTCACAGATCTATCGAAGGAAGATGTTGCAAATATGGTTGAACCTGGTTTAAATCGAACATCTGTAACAAGAAGTGAATGTGCTTCTGTAGTCGTTGCACAATCAAAAGTTTCCATGTTCCAAAGAAATACCTGTCGTCATAAATTTCATTAGGTTTTAAACAAAAAAGTAACACCTCGGCAGCGATAATTTATCACATTTTATCACCTTCTTATCATGTCCAGCACTTGCTAACACTTTTCCATCTGATGAAAAATGGCTAGACAATACCTTGCTTTTACTTGAATGGAGGCAACCAACCTCTTCAAATGAAAAACCTATCAAAAGGAAACGTGTTTGAAATTATAAAGCATTTAATAAATATAATTGCCAAAATTACCTTTTGATATCAAATTAATTATATTTTACTTATATTTCAATTTTATTTGAGGTTGTCATCTTTCTTCAGTTTCCAATATCAGTATTAATATTATAACATAACCATAATAGAAGTATCTTAGCGTAGTAGACTTTGGGATATTAACGAGATGTAACAAAAATGTTTAGGGCAGTGGCCCCTTTGTAAAATTTAATAATTATTATAGACTTACTAGATTATGCATAAACTATTTTGGTGCATAATGTTACTTATGAAACCAAGATATTGGTGTTGTTTATATAAATTCTAATTATAAAAATATTTTTTTTTAAATTATCTGTTTGTGAGATTTTTATTTTACTTTCTCTAAAATATTCTTTAGTTTTATTGTTTAATTTTTCTAAATCTATCACTTTTGATCTCTAATAATCACATTTAGTTAGTTCATATTATCGCTAGAAATTTTACAAAAATGTTGAATTAAAAAAATAGAGAAACTAAAATCTAAAATTTCATTAAAATATAGAAATAAAAATATATTTAAGCCTTATTAATTTAATGCACAGATTGCATCAAGACAAAGTATTCTTTTCTTATAGTCTTGGGTGTATTACCTTTATTTTCAATTTTGCATGTTGTAGAAATACGTTTCAGATTGCTGAAAGGTGCAGTTCTATGATCAGCATTTTCATTTTCAAAAGATAGGAAAGACTCCACATTTTCATCCTCAGGTTTTCCATCTGCTTCATCCGCATAATTCTATTGTTTGCATTCCACAGAATTGGAGGAAAAAAAGTAACAATTTAGGAATCCAATACAAAATGAATTAACAAAATTGGCAATTACTTTAAACAAAACTATTGAGTGTAGGACTAATGAAAATATTTCTAAGATTTGTTTTAAGGTTTATGACAACCTACCTGGGCACTCTCTCCAGGTCTCAAGGATACTGATGTCTTTCCCTTTTTATTTTTCTGAGAATAAATATATAAATAATCATTTTTGCCCCCAACAAGGCAAAGTGTTATAATTTGCAATTTTAAAATGTTGGATAACATACCTCAGCATTCGGGATCTGACTTTGAATTTGTTGACCGCGTTGGTGTTGATGTTCTACAGTGTTAGTCATTTGGTTTATCATCTGTGTCATTCATGAACTTAGTTTGTACCAAAAAAGTCAACAGCTAGAAAAATAAGATTCATATGAACTATTTTAGAGAACTTTAACAATCAGAATGTATATATATATTGAATGGGATGAAAATATTCTTCACTACTTTCAATTAATGACAAAAATTAGCTTATTCAATTCTAAGAGAGAAATGCACAAATTATATCAAATACAAATTAAAGGATTTTCATGAAAACTACTGTCCAATTCAAAGCCCATTGCATTGGTCTTTTTCTTCTTCCGATCCCTTTGCAAATTTTATGCACTTAAAAAATTTTCACACATATCACGGAAATAGCACAGGCTTGCAGACATTTGTACGTATCAACTATTTTACTTAAAAATCCTTTTTTCTTAGCATCCTGAAAGCAGATTGGTGATTAATACTTGTAAAAATATCTCAAAGAGGTCCCACGACTAATTTTCGTTGAGTAATCTTCTTGTCTTCTCCCCTGTTATATAAACTATTCCATCCTAAAAGTATAAATTGTGAAGTATGCTCTCCTTGCATGATAATTCATTTGGAACTATTATCAAAATTTAAGATTCTTTGAAATCCAAATAGGTATACAAATGTGTGTTTTGGATTATCAAATGGTAGAACATTAATCGACCAACCTGTTTATCCTTATCACTTGATTCAATCTTGGGAATCATCATATATTGACTGTTGAAATTGGTAGGGTTTCCAAGAACTGCAAAGGTCTGATTTTTAGGAGTACATGCAAGTGCTTGAGCAAGGAATGTGTTCTGATTTTGTGTTTTCAACACATGACATTGTTGTTGATAGTTTGGTGATTGCGAAAGTGATGTTAGTACCTGGTTCTATGAAATGTTGGTCAATTTCCAGTTAATAAATGAGATAGTATACTTTCATAAACACTTAAAGGAAGTTTATAGGAATTTTTTTTTTTAATGCACATGGAATTATTTTTGTCCAAAATATTCCGTAAGCATACTCCATCACCTACATTTATTGGCCATCCACTTAGTGGTACTAGATTGAGACGTTCATTGATCTCTGCAAAAAATAAAAATAAAATAAATAAATATCCCAAAACATAGTGTAGCATGCACTTATTTACTTGAGAATTTGTTTTGTAAACTTGACTGTAAAACTTAATTTATCACTTTGGGTTTCTCACTGTGAAGGCACATAAAAAAATTGACACATGATAATATACTAGCTAGTCACATCGTTATCAAGCTAAAAAAAGTTAAATTTAGAAAAATTAATAATTAAAGATTAAAAGACTAAAATCAAAATTTTATAAAAATTTAAAGATAAAAAATATATTTAAACTAATTAATTTATCATTTACATATGTATGGAACTAAAGCATCGATATTAGAGAGTTGGCACACTATTTTTTCATAGCATTCTACAGCAACACTAAATTGTGGGATCAACAGAAATATAAAAGACCATCTGGAAGCATGAAAATGATAACTTCAAAGCATCATTTTCTTTGGTGTACATTTAATTAAGATTGTATTAAAGAAAAATACTCTAAAACATGTCCAAAGAAAGCGTGGCATTCTGCATCCTATTGAAATGGAGAAAAATTATACTTTTTTCTATACAAAAATTATATGCGAGAGGATTTAAAAATTTTATTTGATAAAAAAATATTTATATTAAAAATTTGTAAATGCAAACAAATAGTATTGAATCACGTTAAAAATGTGCATTTTTTATGTTTTTTTTAATATGAATGCTTCCATTCTAAACATAAAAAATGCAGTGTTCTTCTCAGTTCAACAAGATGAACTTCGTAGAATCAACATAAAATTGAAGATAACGACTTGTGTATTTAAGATATCACGCAGAGAACATAAAATTAAGGTAGAAGCTATAAGTGGGATGTTGTATTTGTATCTTTTAAACAGAATAAAAATAACAAGAGTCAAAGAACGTGCATAGATTTTTATATTATATCAAAATGTAAATGTCATAAATAATTGTCAATTAAAATAAAAGGAAATTGTATAATAAATATTGAGGCTTTCCATACTCTAGAGTAAAAGGGAAAATACATACTTTTTTCATGAGGTCCCTCTAAAGGAGACGTCATCTTTTGCATTACATCTCGAGGGTCCAGAAGTGTATCCCTCCTTACACACATACCAATTCCACTTTCCTGAAAATATAAATAAAATAAATTTGTTAGACGATGCACTAAGTATGTGATTCTAATTATTATATATTGGTAAATTGGATCATACCTTAGCGACCTGCTTCTGGTTTTGCTTGCTTACATCTTGTGATGGATAACTGGCAAAACCAAGAACAATAGGAAGAAATCCAGTAAAAAGCGTTCCATATATGTTAAACCAATTTAAAAAAGTAACAACAAACAAGAATGCACTTCCTTCAATTTAACTTAACACATCCTTTATTTTTGAAAATGTTGTTAACATTTTACATTTATATGAAATAGCACGGTTGTAGTGTGTTTTTATAAATAAAAAAGAATATTATATAAACTATTTTGTATCACATTAAAAAATCATATGGTAAAGTTGCTTTGAGAGGAAAAAGGAATTGCTTGAGTGTGAAAGCAAATCTCACAAGAAACTCAAAAATAAAAATATATTTGTAAATTACTTAAATAAGTCCCTGATAAGAACTTCAAGTGATTTGCTTTGATAAGATCATGTAAACCTAGTTCAATATTTTTTCCTAGATATCCAAGATGCTGTTTACCGTACATTATTGAAGGTATTAAACAAATAGCCGGTTGTGGCATCATGTTGTTAAAGTTGGAGCTGACTTGAAACTGTTTAGAGGATCTCGGCTCATTCATTGGTATTTGAGGAATTCTAGGAGAGGCATCATTACTTGCATCTGGGACCTAAAATTTTAAAAAATTCGTGGCTTATGACTAAGCTGCATGAAACATTACACAACATAAAATAAGACTACATTTATCATTTAGTCATCACCACCTTACTAGAGGATCCTGACCCGGTCTCCTTATCCTCCCCTTGCCTAGAGGTAAATACATCATAGAAAATAGACCACCATTCATGTAGGAATCCATCTGGAGAATCAATCACTGAATCTAAAAATTTCATGTCTGTACTCGATCAATATTCAGCAAGATTTAGAAAGCTAAATGAGTCAAATATATTAATACTAAGTCAATCAATTTCCCAAAAATATTTAGAATATTAGCAAAATTGAATTACATGAATACTAATTATACTAAGCAATGTATTATCAATCTTAGACAATCCCATCAATAACTAAAATGTACCCAAAAAAATAGATATCACAACCTTTTCATCACATAGGAACAATTTAGAAAACTTTTTACAAAACTTATTTGGTATTATAAAAAATATCACCTTTCATAACTTTCTCAACTTATTTTAACGAGGTTCATGAAGAAATATATCAAAACAATCCTTTATTGACATTACATTATTTTAAACATTTCAAAACTATCACTTATAGAGTAGAGTAGCATAATCATCCTTTATTATTCACTTGGAGAGTAGTTGTAATATAACCAATTTTTGATATTCACTTGAAGAAAGATTTCACATACAACCCCTCTTTAAACTTCATTTTATAGAGTGGTTACACACCAACCAATATGACAAAATAATAAAGGAAATTGTAAAATAGTAACTAGCATTTTAACATGATAAAGGGTTAATGTTAACTATGATTTGTTTTAAGCACAATGATGATGAACCGATTATGATTTTGGAGTATAATAGTGGTGATGATGTTTAGTTTGTACGAGATGGACGTATTGGAGTTGAAATAGGAACGATAGTTTTGTAGTAATGGATTTGATTGATAATGATGGTTGTAATGTTGTTGATACCAACATGATGAGGTGTGTAGGGGTAATGCATGATGCAATGACAGTCTAGTGACGGGCAGATGGTGAGACTCAGTTTGAATTAGAGTTAAGTTTATCGGGTGAGAAAAAAGATAAAAATATATTTAGTTGGTCGACTTTGAGTGATTTTTTATCCATCTAAACCTAATTCCAATTGACATAGTTATTAAGGCCATTGGAAGTTTTTATTTTGAAATCAATCAATAGAGATTTTGTTACAAACTTAAAATGTTTCTATTTTTTCATTCTCTTTCACTTACTTCTCTTTTGTTGGTTTAGAAGTCAAACATGACGGTGGTTTGAGCAGGGAAAATTATACTCTAAAACATTTAATAATTATAAAAGCTACATTCTAAGTTATAATTGAGAGAAGTTAAAAATCACTTTTTAAGTGTATTTAACTTTACATAATCACATTTACGAGAAAAATTTAAACTGTTATGTAAATATGTTTTATGATATAGTATAAATAAATATATAATTAAATTTAAATACATTCATAATATATAACTATTCTACTTACTATTTTAATGTATTTTTTATTAATAAAAAGCCCTCTAAGATGGAAGGTTACTCTCCCCCGCATACCACAAGCTAAATAGTAGAGTTTTTTTTTTTTTTTTTTATAATTAGAACATAAAATGTTTAAGGTTTATTTGAGATTTTGAAAGGAGAAAAAAGAAAAGAGTTTGAAAGGAGAAGAAAAAAAGAGAAAGAAAAAAGATGGAGAAGAAAGTTAAACTCATTTCTTATTTGCATGTTTAATATTGAAAAAGAAAACTGATAAGAGTTTAAGTATAAATATATAAATGATATTATTATATTTTATGTTGTTTATATATATTCATTTTATAAAAAATAAAAAATAATATTTTTATTTTTTTAAAAATAAATATTTTTAAAATAAATATTTTTATTTTTTTATAAATTTTTAAAAGATTTTCACTTAAAAAACTAATATTTAAAAGAAAATTAGAATCCTAATAGTCTAAGAGTATGAGAAAGTGGAAGAAAGAAAATTTCTAAAAAAGTTTCAAATGAAAAATTCAAAAAACTAGTGTTAAAAGAGTTTTAAAGGATTTAGAAAAATCTCTAAACTTTTCTCCTTTTAATTGAGTAACTCTTAAATAAAGATTAATTTTTCTCCTAATCTCTCTCTTTTCCTTCTAAACACAACTTCAAAATATGCAAAATATTAAAGAATGAACAATCTTTTAAAAGAATGAGTGCACATGTGTGTGTGAATATATGATATATCTATAAAAAAATAATTCATAGCATATTTGATTTTTATTTTAAAAATAAAATATAATACAAAATTAATTTCAGTATTTTTTTAAAATTATTATTATATTTATTTTTAAAATAGATCAAACATTTGACATAGCCAACGTGAGTCGGTGAGATTTGAAAATATTTTCCTTGGCCGAGAACATATCTAGTAAAATGTTAAAATGGAGTTCAGAAAACAATACAAAACAAACCCTTATATGACATACCGACGGGGTTGTTAGGAACATGGGCTTCCTTCTTGAAAATCTTGGCAGCGCTGTGCATTCCCTTTTTGATCATATAATCATGCAAATATAATTGAAGTCTACAGAACTCAAGATCAAAATCAATTAAGCATAGATAAGCGAGATATACAGAGAAAACAAAAAAAGAGAATGAAAAGGGGCAAAAGAGATTAGACCCTACATTTTATCAGCATCCCACTCCAGGTTGTTATCGGGAGATGAGGCCATGATGATTGTCAATCGCTTAATTCAATTGTAGAGAAAGAGCAGAGGTAAGGGTGTTTGAGTTACGACGAAGATTCAACAGAGAAGAAAGTAAAAGGAATTGGATTTGTGTTGAAAGAAAGAAGAAAACGAGAGGAGAGAAGAGGACGCTAAGTGGCAAGTGACGGTGCCATGCAGGGGAAAGGAAGAAACAAACAAAATCAGTTCAAATATAAAGGGTAGCGACAATGTGAGGGCACAACTGTTACAACACTAACACTGTATATACCAACCCATGTGGCCCCTCCTTACTCCCTTGTGGAACCAACATCGACGGCCATAAACTTGGTTGCAGCCTTGCAGGTCTGTGTTATATAACATAGATTGGATTTATTTATAATTTTTTTTCTTCAAAGGTGTTCTAATTTCAAATTTTTAATAAGTAATTTTTTAGATGTAAGAAAAAATACATTTTTTTTAAAGATTTTGACCTATATATATATATTTTTTTCTTCAATTATTATTTTTATATAGTAGATAAATATTATTGAATTAAAAAAATTCAATAAGAAGATTAAAGAAATGTTGTATGATGATTTATAAACTCTGATTAAAAAAAAAAGAATGAATATTTTTATTATTAATAATATTTTTTCATTTTAAAACTTAAAAAATAAAGTTATTAAAAAGAGAATAAAAATATGAAAATTAAAATTAACTTTTTATCATTAATATGATTTGTCAATATTTAAATTTAAAAAATAAACTCAAATTATGATAATAGGAATTTTAGATTTTCTAAAAAAAGAAAGATATCTATAATTTAATAAAATGTATCAAGATTTAAAAATTAAATTAAATTAAATTATATTTAAAATGAAAGAAATTGGCCTACTTAGCACATCAGAAGCCATGTGGCATGATCATAGAGATTCAACTTTAATTACATAGAAATAAATAATTTCTTTTGTGAGTATTTGTTTAGTAAATATAATAATATAATAAAAAATTTGTCGTATTTATTTTTTATTTAACTAATATAACATGATAATTTTTATAGATTATTTTTTTTTATATTTTAGTATGTTTTTTAAATATTTTGTTTGGAAGTTAATTTTAAAAAAAGAAGGGATAAAAGAAAATAAAAATATTTGATAGTAATTCTTATTTAAAAGTTTATAATTGTGAGGAAATTTTTTATAAATTTTTCATAAACTCATTTTTAAATTCTTTCAGTTGATGGATTGTTTGTTAACTCTTTTTTTTCACTCTTCAAGCTGTTGTTATTTTATACATCAAATATATAATTAAGTTATAATTAGACATGATAAATAATATTATATTATTTTAATTAAATCATACATAAAAATTTTAATCTATCTCATTTGTATCTAACGCTAGTATTTTTATTATTTTTTATTATATTATATCCACCAAACAGATCTTTAATATAATTATATTTTTATGACTCAAATTATAATAATTGATTAAGTTAAAATATTTTTTTCTGAATTAATTTACATATTTGATTAGATTGGTTAAATGCATATATTCATAAATGATAGTTAAGAAAAATTTAACTCTTTTAATCATTAATGAAAATTAAATGTATATTTTAAAAAAAATTATCATATATTTTAAGTAAATTCTGTGATATCTTGAAAAATTTTAAGAATACCGTACATAAATTTTTTAATTAATAATATTTAAATACATGTTTAAATAATAAATTATTATATTAGTTACATTTAAACATTTTAAAAAATAGTTAAATTTCTAGATAAAGACATAATCAAAATTAAATAAATTAAAATTCAAAAATAAAATAATATTATTATATTAATATATTTTTTATATTCTTAATTCTATTATTATTAATATTAAATTATTATATTAATATATTATATTATAATTATTTTTATTTATAATAAATAAAAATTATATTTTATTTAAAAATAAAAAATAAACAAACTAAAATTTAAAAATAAAATAATAAATATTAATATATTTTTCATATTTTAATTTTATTATGATTAATATTCAATTATTTAATTATTATATTAATATATTATATTATAACTATTTTTATTTATAATTATTAGAAATTGCTTAAATATGATTATATTTTATTCAATATTAAAATTTATAAAAAATGATAAAAAATAAAATAAAAATTTAATATATATATATATATATAATAATAATAATAATAAGACTATATAACAAATAATATAAATAATATAATTTTAAATAAATTATATATAGTAATTTTTTAATTAATATATATTTCATTTTTATTAGTTTTAAATTTTTTGGATACCATACCCATAAAAAAAATTTGAAGTACCACGACACACACCTATATTTTAAGGCTCTTCGTTCTGAAAATGAACCTCGGAATGTCTCTCATAACACCACCCAAATTGAAGTTAATGCAATTAGAAAGTGGGCCCATGGAACCGTAACTATCCACTTAAAAATTTGGGTTAAACGGGCTATGGGTTGTGGGTTAAGGGTGTTGGAGAATCGAGCCAATGACTCCCCCCTGTTCTTCTCATTTCTTCTGTTTTTCCTTCCTCACAAATGACAAAACCAGCACACTCTAAAAGGTAGACCCTACGCCCAACTAAAACCAGCGGTAACAAACCTTAGGAGTTCCAAAACTACACCGTCCCAAGATGTTTCAATTGATTTTGTTCTTCCTCTTCTTTCTCTCTCCTCAAAGCTAGGCGCCAACTCTTCGACCCCAACAATCAAACTCATAACACCTCCCTCTCCGGCTCCTTCCCTGCAACCTTCTATCGCTTCCTCTCTCTCTCATCTCTTATTCTCTCTTACAACCTCATCAACTCCACCATTTCCGGCAGTGCTGTCGCCAGCTGCCGCAGCCTCCGCCAGACCTTCTCTCAAATCACCACTCTTGAATCCCTCGACCTCTCCAGCAACAACTTCTCTGTGACATTCCGGTGACCCTCGACCCTCCCCTTAAGAATATGCGGCCCTTAGGGGTGAAAACCCTAGCGAAAAAAACGAAATCAAAGAATGGAGACGAAGAAAGGAAAGACAGAAAAAGAAAAAGCAGCATGCGGTGATTCTGAGGAATAGAAGAAGATTTAAATATGTGTCTCTACAGTTGCAATTTTTTATTTTTCTAATATTAATTTAATAAATAGTTGGGTTGATTCGTATGTCAATCCCTTCACTCTAGTCCGCTCCTACCCTCGTAATCCCGTTTTTAATGATCCGCGTTTCCTCTAAATAAACCGATCTGACCTTGTTTGCTTCTGGACTTTTGGTTAAGCCAGTTACGGATGAGCTTAGTATTTTTGGATAGGCCTAGATTCCACTGGCTGAACTTGAAACTGATCAACTGTTTGACTCGTTCAACTCAAAAAATTGGCTGATTCTAGAACCAGTGATAAAAGTTTCAAACTTAAATTGGTCACTTGTAAAAATTTTTGTTTTTTATTTAAAAATATTTTTAAAAATAAATTAAAATTTAATGATAAATTATAAAAATCCATGTACACAAATCTTTATTATTCGTTTTTTTATTATTAACTTTTCTTGTTCAAAATATAAAATATAATTTTATATCGATTTAAAATTTATATTTATTTTAATTTTTAATTTTTAATATTTTATATTAATTTATTGTTTAATGTAGTATATAACATTAAAAAAATATATTTAATTATTACTGATGAATTTTGTACCAATATCTTTAATAGTTAAATAGTCGGCGTCATTCTTAAAATATTATTTTTTTTCTTTCTTGAAATATTCTCTGTTCCAATGAGTTTTGAATGAGTTTTGAGAACCTTGTGAATATTTTTATAAAAAAATATATTAAAATAAAATAATTTTTTTTAATATGTTCTCAAGACACAATAAAAATTTATGTGTAACAAAGTTTTACTAAAAATTTTAAATTTTAATGTATTAATAATACTAAATATTATAATTTTTAGTAAACACTTATTATTTATTAATTTTTTTATTACAAGTAAAGTTTTTAATTCAAGTTACTCGATTTGTGTTAGTCCATGTTAGCGATTGAGCAAGCACCACATGTTTAAAAAGTTTAAAATAATTTAAAATTTAAAAAGTTTAAAGAATAATTTAAAATTTTAAAATATTATTTAAAAAATATATTCACTAGATCAAGATAGATTGCAAGTTTGTCTTATACTTAAACAAGTTAAGCCAGGAAAACTCAGATTTATTTGGGCCTATAATTCTAACCCTCAAATCCTTATTTTTTGCAAATATTTCCGAGTTGTTTTATCTAGCAGGCATGTTTTGTTCGCTCAATTGGATTGCAAGTTTGTCTTAAGTCTTGTGGGTGGATACTTAAGGCCTATAATTCTAATGCTCCACGCACTTATTCTTTACAAATATTTTCAAGTTATTTTGTTTGTTCTATGTTCAAAGGACATATTAGAAAAGTGAAAAAAATAATAAATTCTTACTTTAATTTATGAAATATATAAATTCATAAAATATATAATTTGACTAAAATTAATTTTTAAATTTTTAAATTTTAACCTCTAAATTTATCTGTTAGTCATATTAATTCTTTTCGTTAAAAGATGTTAAAATTGAATAATAAATAATAATTTATCACTTTTATTTTTCAAATACAATCTAACTCAAATATGTCACTTTTTCTTTTTCAAATACAATCCAACAAGTTTAAATTTTTACCAATCTAAACATTATCTTTCAACTACTCTCTTCACTTTCTTACTAAAATAATATTTAAATCCAACCTTTCTACCAACCTACTTCACACCTCACACTCCTTAGATCTCATCGTCCCCTTAACCCCTCTAATATTGTCATGATTATGAAAAATCATCATTTAACTTTAACAAATCAATCCCTATTGTATCTCCTACCTCATCAAATTTGTTTTAAATTTTTACTAAAATCTCCAAGCGAGGCTTAGATCTGATGGATTAGATGACAAACTTGAGAAGAAATAACTTTGTGGCATAAATGCCATTGCAGGGGTAGCCAAA